GAAACTAGGAAGATCACGAGACACCAAGTGAAATCCTTTGCTTCAACTTCTACACCGTTGAGATATTTTGGTTATAGAACTCTAGGAAAAAGTACTGGGAGAAAATAATTGACAGAAAACTAATGAAGAATAATAGAGTCTGCATTTCCTTTTACTCTCAAAGCAGGATGGGGGAGGGCATGACTTCTAGGCCTCCCTATTAATCTGGTTGCTCTTTTCATCTTTGGCCACGGAAAATCTCCTTCTTGATCTTAGATTGGCCACCCTAATCTGTGCTCCACACTATTCATTAATTTGATCTCCTCAAATACAGCTGCAGTCCATTTCCTTTGAATTTTTCTTCCTTTGCTGCATTTGTTAGAATCAGACTCTATGTCTCTCAAGGTCGGAATCTTTTTATTCCATATATAAATCTTTTGGGTGGTCATGTGTTGATATCAGAATTTAAAACATCTAACTTTATTTATAAAGGTATTTTTCACCTTTAAGTGGCTACAGTAATCATAAAAGAGGAGGAAATGACATGTGTCAAGACACAGTATTTTATATGCATGATTTCACTTATCTTTCAATGACCCACAATGGAATCTTGTTCCTATTTTACAGATGTGGCCCAAAAAGAAAAAGTGGCCCGGCTGGAATTTAAAGTTCTGCTGATGTCAAAAATTTCATGCTCTTTCCTTATATTTTCTGCATCAAATCTGTATTGGAAACAGCTGAGATCTGAATCCAGGTGATTCTGATTGTTAACTCCTTTACAGTTTCAACATCGTAAAATCAAACTCAATGGTAAGCCAAATGTAAATGTATCAAACACATGCTATGGATAATTTAACTTTAAAGTAAGGGGAAGTATTCTGAGAAGCGATTAGGACTCCAGATTATAAGTTTGACATGGATCCTTTAAATTAGGTTGTATCATAGAGCAGAGGTTTTCAAACTTTCTTGATTCGTGGTACCCCTAGGCCAAAAGAAACAGCTAACTTTCTGTTTAAATAGGTAATCCTGACAACAGAATAAGCATTTCTATCCTACTATCTTATAAGAACTGTTTGAAAAAATAATACATGTAACTTAAAGAAAACTATGATTTTATTCATTTTAATATTACTTATTAATGGCAGCTGTGCATCTGTTGGCTACAGCACCACTTCTCAAACCTTGGACTATGATCACAATTTTCATTTCTTGTTCCACATTCATTTTCACTTGATACTTGCTTTTTATCACAGCAATTGCTGAAAATCCAGTTTTATAAAGACATGGTGTCATCAAAAAATTGTGAAATCTGATGTTGAAAACTGTGAACTATTCTGAGCTAGTAGTTGGCCTGGTAAATGACAGATGTTGCTGTGTTTCCTCAAAAATTTAAAGAATCCCAGGGTGCTCCTATGAATGTGCTGCAGCATCCCGGGGTGCCTTGGGGGACCAGCAAGCCTTTTAGAAAATGTACGTATTCGTTTTTTATCGTATTTGAGGTGAACATGTATTCATACACATATACACAGCGAAATGGTTACTACAGTCAAGCAAATTACCATAGCCATCATCTCACAGTTACCTTTTTTGTTGTTGCTGCAAGCCTTAAAAATATCTTTTCTCCCTTTCTTTTTCTTCCTTTTCTCTCCCCTCCTTTCTTCCCTTCCCCCCGTCTCCCTTCCTTCATGTTTTTCCTATCTTTGTTTTATGATGACAAACCCTCTTGAAGCTTGATTTGTAACTCTAATTCTCCCTCCATGACATCTTACAATATACACTGAAATTTTCAACCTGGAGTGAAGTCAGTAGAAGTAGTATATGTTTTGACTGAATGACATATGGAAATCTGATGTTTAGACACATTTTCCCAGCAACAAAGCAAAGTTTTAATCCAAGAATTCTTTACATTGTCAAACTGACTATCTAATGCCGGGATGATAAGAAAGGAAGCAGGGATGGTAAGATAAAGCAGGGACGATAGAAAGGAAGGAAAGAAGGAAGGAAGGGGGGCAGGACAAAGAAAAAAAGCTTGATTAGTAAATCTTTATTTAAAAAGTAGATGAAATATCATGCACATTCTTGGAGCAGGACAACACAGACTGAGGGGCTGAAGCCCCCCAACCTCAGGCATCCATATGATTGATCCTAAATGAGTATCTGTTGGCACAGGTCAAGTTTAAGTCAAAGATGGGACAGAGGAGCAGGAGGAGTTTACAGGAGAGGAGTATATGCTTTGGAGTCAGGCTGTGTACCAGTCCTGCCTCTAAACTTAATAGCTCTGTGCCTTTTGCACAAGTTACTTAGTCTTTTGAGTTTCAGCTTTTCTTCTCAGTATGACGGGAATAACAATACCTATCTCAAAATTTTTTCTTCAGGACTGATTAATACCTGTTAAGTGCAAATTATAACATCCAGCACATTTCATTTAAGGACTAGACAGTTAATGCTTGTCAATATTATCATTACTATTAAAATAGGAATGACTCGTGGAAGGGAGACAGCAGAGACGAGATCTGCTGAAGAATATCTAAGGTCCAAAGAGAAAAAATAGTGGGAGAATGGCAGAGTTCCTGTGAACTGCTGGTGGGGATGTAAATTGGTACAACTACTTCAGAAAACCGTTTAGCAGCATCTAAGCTGAACATATGCAAATGCTATGACCCAGCAATTCCGCTCCTAGACATGTACTCCTCACATCATCACATAAACGCTGACCAAAACATGCTTGTAGCAGCATTATTCATAATAGACAAAAAATTGGAAAGAACTCAAATGTAGAATGAACAAAGACAATGTAGTGTACTCATACACTGAAATACTATTCAGCAATGAATGTGAAGTAATTACTGCTACAAACAATAATCTGGATGTATCTCACAATCACCGTAGAACAAAAGAAGGTAGACATGAAATAGTGCATACTACATGATTCTACTTATAGAAAGTTTAGAAACAGGCTAAAAAATAGAAAAAAATTAGCCAGGCGCAGTGGCGGGCACCTGTAGTCCCAGCTACTCGGGAGGCTGAGGTAGCAGAATGGCGTGAACCCGGGAGGCGGAGCTTGCAGTGAGCCGAGATTGCGCCACTGCACTCCAGCCTGGGCGACAGAGCGAGACTCCGTCTCAAAAAAAAATAAAAAAAAAATAAAAAAAAAAAAGAAAGAAACAGGCAAGTCCATCTGTAATGTTAGAAATAAGGATATTGGTTACTCCTTGGGGGGCAGAGTTAATGGCTAGGAGGGTGCATGGGGTGCCTCCTGGTGCTGGCTACAATGTGTGCTCAGTTTTTAAAAATCCCTGTATCCCTATGGTTTATGTGCATTTCCTATGTATGTTTTATTCTAATAAAGAGTTTAAGAAAAAAATTGGCCAAAGCATTGAAAAGATCACTTCATAGGTTTCTTTCTCAGCAGAGAAGTATACACACACACACACACACACACACACACCCCTTGATACTAATGCAAAGCATACAAAAGCATACAAAGAAAACATAACAATTACATTTACAACCTGTGGGTCAAGCATCCTATCACGGCTGACACTTTGTATAAATCAGGTTATGTATGCTATGGCTACGACCCCCAGATGCCAGTGGCTTAACCCAACCAAAATCTATTTCTGGCTCCTGATGCTTGTCTAGCACATGCTGGCCAGGAGCCCTACTCATTGTACTAACTCAGGGACCCAGGGTCGGGGAGGCGTCATTCTGACATATGGGTCCAGGATCACTACAGCAGTGGGAAGAGCACACAGTAAAGCATACAGCAGCTCTGAACATGGCTGCCCCAAAGAAGGACATGACCTTTCCGCTCACATTTCACCTGCTAAAACAAGCCACGTAGGCAAGCCTAACTTCAAGGGGCGGGAGAAGTGCAGTTGCACTGTGGGCAGGAAGGAGATGGGCTGGAAAAGTAACAGCTCTACTGACGATCACACTTGCTCCCGTGGTTCCCAGACTCAGCCCCATTCAGAGTCCAGTGCTTAAGGGAACTGTTTTTGACTCACATCACATCCTTCTCTGCTCCCTCCCTTCCCCTCCCTGTAGATGGAGATCAGAGGGGGAAGAAAAACCCTGGATTTCCAGAACACTGCTACCCCTTTCACCAATTGGTCACCAGTATGGAGACTGATATCATGAAGGTCCAGCGTCTGCTGCAGGCAGTGGCCTTGGTCCCTTTCTGGGTCAAACAGCAGAGTGAAGCTGCAGCCAAATTGAGGGTAAATAATGGTCACGGCAGGAAGTAGGGAGAATCCTGTACAGCTGAAACGATCCTTGAGGATCCATGCCATGGTAGGTGAGGGCAGCAGGGGGGGATTTGGATGACTGGGTGTATCATTCTCTTATAGGAAGAAAAGAATGAAAAAAGGAGAGGATAGCATAGAGCTAGAAGGGAGGAAATAAACAGATGAGGGAGTTAGAGGAAAAGAGTAGGGAAAGAGTCAGAAAAGGGGGTAGAAAAAATCCTTTTTGTCTCCAATCAGTTACAGGTATAAAGCTTTCTCTATGTCTGATCTAGTTCAACTCTAGGCTTTGTTTGGATGGCATTTTTATCTCTGCTAGGTTTTCGTTAAATGAGCACCACACTGGAACCCACTGTTTATTAACAAAGAAATGACTGCATGGAGCTCAGGAAGGGAAGCACATGGCAGGTTCTTGTCCTCTTCTCCCCATTCCTGCTAAGAAGTGAGGGGTGCTCCCAAGTGGATGTTTCGCTGTAGGACTAGAAGGAGCATAGGCGGATTTTTGCATTCTAAATGTGAGCACCTTTTAGAAGCACATACCAGTTCTGGGAGAAATGTCCTAACACTAAAAGCATATATATTTTATAATTTACCAACTAGGACATGACTGAATTTTAACGTGGGTTCCTTAAAAGACACACAAAACACAAACATTTTGAGTTAAATGGGAGCTGAAGAGGGGTATGGGTTTCAAGATGGAAAATATCCTATGGTAACTACAAGATACCTGGTTTTCCTGTACCTATGCAATCCAAATAAATTCTGAAAAACATAGGATTTGCTTCATATACCAATTCCATTTATTGTTAAAGAAGTCACTTCACTTAGGAAAGACCAATGATGGCATGTAGAAATAAAAACATTTAATCTGGGCTGGGTGGAGTGGCTCACGCCTATAATCCCAGCACTTTGGGAGGCTGAAGCTAGAACACTGCTTGAGGCTAGGAGTTCCAGACAAGCCTGGGCAACATAGTGACACTCATCTCTACAAAAAATTAAAAAATTAGTTGGGCATGGTGGTATGTGTCTGTAGTCCTGGCTATTAGGGAGCTGAGGTAGGAGGACTGCTTCAGCCCAGGAGGTCGAGGCTGCAGTGAGCCAAGATACTGCCATTGCACTCCAGCCTGAGTGACAGAGTGAGACCTTGACTCAAACAAAAACAAAAACAAAAACAACCAAAAAAAAGAATGGATCAAAAATGTGAGAAAATGGGCACAATTTGTTTTTGACAAATCCAGTTTTTCAGTTTCATATTTCACAGAATGTTGCCAGGAAGCAGACTCTCCGCGTGCATTCCAAAAGCATTCAAGTTCCCAGAACAGGTTTCTATACACTTTTCAGGAACATATCTGCTGTGAAAAATACAATGTTTGTAGCACTGGGACTCCAGACAAAGCCTGAAGGGGAAGATGCACTTAAAAGTGTTTATTAAAGAAGCTGGGGGCAGTGGCTCATGTCTGTAATCCCAGCACTTTGGGAGGCCGAGGTGGGTGGATCACTTGAGGTCAGGAGTTCCAGACTAGCCTGGCCAACATGGTGAAACTCCGTCTCTACTAAAAACACAAAAAATTAGCTGGGCTTGGTGGCACATGCCTGTAATCCCAGTGGGAGGCTGAGGCAGGAGAATCGTTTGAACCCAGTAGGCAGAGGTTGCAGTGACCTGAGATTGCACCACTGCACTCCAGCCTGGGCGAAAAGAGTGAAACTCCATCTGAAAAAACAAAAAATGTTTATTAAAGATAGAAAATGCTTCCACATGAGGAAAAGATGGCCAGAGCCACTGCACAATTAGGTTCTGACTTAAAGATTGGAGATGGAAACAAACACAAAAAAATGTGATTGCTTGCATTTATTGCTAAAAGTAAACCAAAAGCAGTTTAATTTGAAGGATGTGCTATGGTAGCCGTGATTAGGTTTTAGGTCAAATAACCAATGGGCCCAACTCAATGTGAGACAGGGGGAGCCTCACTGAGAAGAGTGGCTGAAGAGGAGGCAGCATGACCAGTACAAATTATTGCCCTTTGAGAACGGAGGTGTCGCTTTCCTGTTCACTGAAGATTTTAATTAGAAATGTGTTCTTCTTTACAGATGTTTCATTTAGTTGTATTCTAATTATAGACCTTGACAAAAAAAGCAAAAAGAAGAGCCAGCAGAGCCAAGCCCACGGACATCCTCAGTGCGCGGTCTTGATGTAGCCTTGGCATGGGCAGCACCATTCTAGAACTCGCTGAGTCACACCTAGATGCAGCAGAGGTGTGAGATCCTGAACTCCCAAGCCCATTTCTGAAGTCCTATAAAGAGAGAAACAGAGGAAAAAATTATTTTTAGATGCAGAGAAAGCCCTGTTGTGATAGGAATCAAGTAACGGATTCCAGAAGGTGCTGCCTTTTATGTACTCCTTCAACAGAGACACATTTGAACAGCCACCATGAGCCAGGTGGCCCCAAGGTAGGTAGGAATGAGTCAGTTCCTTTGCTTGAAGGGCCAGGCCAAGTTCATGACTCTCCAGACTACACATAAACCGGATGAGAAAGACGGGCTGTGTTTATAGAAAATCAAGGCAGAATTCATAAAGGGTAGAATCTGTGTAAAGTGGAGTCATACCACAGACATATTTAACTCTTAGAGAGATGTAACTGTATCTTCTCAGCAATGGAAGAATGACAAAGAAACACCATTGGCCAGGTGTGGTGGCTCATGCCTGTAATCCCAGCACTTTGGGAAGCTGAGGTGGGCTGATCACTTGAGGTCAGAGGTTTGAGATCAGCCTGGTCAACATGGTGAAACCCCGTCTCTACTAAAAATACAAAAATTAGCCGGGTGTGGTGGCAGGTGTCTGTAGTCCCAGCTACTCTGGAGGCTGAGGCAGGAGAATTACTGGAACCTGGAAGGTGAAGGCTACAGTGAGCCAAGATCGTGCTGCTGCATTCCAGCCTGGGTGACAGAGTGAGACCCTGTCTCAAAACCAACCAACCAACCAACCAACCAACCAACCAACCAACCAAACATGGAAGCCACTTGATTCAGCAAACACATCCCTAGGACAAAGATTCGTAGCTGGTCTGCTGCCACAGGAGGGCTGTGCCAAGAGTGACCCACCCCACATGACCCCCACACTCAGTCCCCTCAAAGTACCTTGTGTGCCATACAAGTACTATCATTTTCTCTTCATGCCAGACACAGAACAGTTTGGGAAACCCTGCTTGGGCAGAGCTTGAGAAGCTGGGGACCTGACTATGCTGCTTTTCTCAGTGGTTTCTGTTCACGGGCTTCTCAGCTGGTGTCCAGGGAAGTGGAGAGAGGAGCACCTGGCTATTCTCAGGGTGGCTCTAGTTTCGAAGCGCAATTGATGAGATTTTCACCTTGTGCACCTGCTTCAGAATCGGTGCCTTGCCCAATAACACGGGAGTCCCCTGTTGAAACCTGAATAACATTTTGAGAGATGGAAGGAGCGGTGTGGAAGGGGCAGATGAGAAATGTTGTATGGAAGGAAAAATGAGAGGGCGAAGGGGCAGCCCAGAGGCCGTGCAGGACAGGACAGGAAATCCACAGAAGCACAAAGTGTCTCGGAACAACCATGGTACTTTGCTCGGTCTTCCCTTCCAAGCTCTCTAACAATCTCCTGGTACCTCTCTGGCTTCTGTTTGGGAAGCTGCATCCCACCACGCACAGGAGAGACACTGGAATGGTGCTTTGCAGAAGGTAACACGAACAGGGAATGTGTGGGGTGGACTGAAGGGAGGCAGGAGAATGGGGTAGAAAATCCAGTGGTAAGTTGGAGCAACAGATGAAATGGTAGATAATGAGGACCTCTATCAGGATGACGGCAGAGGGAACAACAGACTTTTGATGTAGAATCAATAGGATTTGAGTTCAAAGGAGTGAGTAATGCAAGACACAAAGAATAGGAATGGGGAAATGAAAACAAATTCTACAGCCCAGTTTCCACAGGCTCCTATTCACACGCGATTGTGTGGGAAGAATTCTTGCTCTGTCTGTAGGAGGCTAACAGCAGAATTAAGAAAGCTGTTAGCCACAAGGAAAAGTCTCTCAACCCCAGTGACAGTTGAAGCGTTATTTACTGCTGCACTCCTCAGGTATCTGGGCCGATACCCTGCTGGTGTCCCTGCACTCTGAGTCCTTCATAAGGAGGCACACAGCTGGACAGAATGGGGCCGTCCTTCCCATGGCAGCGGGAGGCAAGAGCTGGAGCTCAGTGGTGCACCCAGACCTGTCCCCGCCCCCAGGAGACAGTTCTCTGATGAGCTTGGCTTTTCGTGTAATATTTCGGAGCGAGATCTATGCTGAACAGCTTCCATTTCAATTTGAAATAGCCTCAAGATCTCAAGGACAGCGCTCACACATATGTGGGAACCTGGAGAAAGAATGCAGAGTCCTTCAGCTGAATTGATAGGAACTATGTGCGTTCCTCAAAAGCGGCGAGTCTGCCTAATTCACCTCTGAAATACTGGAACCTAGCAGGCTGCAGGCACAGAGCAGGTACTCAGTAAGTGTTCAGGAATGAATGAATGAGTGACTGATTGAATGAATAATATGAGAGTGTGTATTCCAGTGAGATGAGCAACCATCAAGAACATTCTCATCTATGTCTCTGGTGATCAGTGTGTCCTGTGATATATTCAGGAAGCTGTTCTACTTGAGTCACAACTTGTTGCCTCTAGCAATTAAACCATCACTTAATAAGTGTGGTTTTATAAGACCAGAATTAAAAGGTTGATTAATTTCTCCGAGGCCTGAGTTCTTCAACCTCTGTAAGTCATAGAGATGGCTTTGAGAAGACTACAGACCCTTCCAGAAAAATATGGAAGCATATTTACGTATCCACACAGCCACGGTCACATTCTGTCTTCAGGAGGTTCACAGATACCCTCACCCAGGAGTGGACCCAGATTTTGTGGGTCCTGCAGCCTTCTCTTTGAGACAAAAATAATGAATACAAAATTAGGTACAGGGTCTTGGAAGGGGGCCCTTCAAATTGAGAGACCCTGAAACTTGCTAAACGAGCTTCAGGGAAAATCCACCCTTTTCCCTATCCCCAGTTCAGAATGTTTGACCTTGGTTCTGCACCTGTGTCATGATTAGTGGTGCCAGGCCAGGTGTCAGGCTGACCTGGGGAAGGACTAGGTGAGTCTTAAAGTCTTAAGCAATTGATTGGGTTTATAATACATTTTGGTTTTTGTTTCATGAAGCAGTGCAGGTACTGTGCCTTCTTGGCCTGGGTTAAAATAAAAGCAACAACTCTTCGACTTTTGATGACAATTTCAGAACATTTCTTCTCCTTTCAACTCACCTGTCATAAAACTTTGTCCAGAATAAAGTTACCTATTAAACTACTGGAGTGGATTATTTGTGGTCATGTTAAGTTCAGTCATTCTTCCTTGGGCATCCTTTTTTCTCTCCACCCCTCAAATGTTTACCACATTTGAACATAACTGATTCATAAAAGGTATTTTGGTGCTGAGCTTTCCTCCTGTGCCTGCTGGACAAGCCTGCACCGTGCATCCTGCGGAGAAGCAGAAGCACGCATATGCAGCCACAAGACACCCACGGATTTGCCACTCTCTTGAGGATCAAGGCAGGAGCGTGACGGCGGAGCAGGAGAGGGTAAATGCATCCTGTCTCTATTGTACTGTGCCCTTTTATTATTTTCACCTTTTACCCAATCAAGATCTTGATAAGAGGATTTTGATGATACTATTTTTAAATATAATATTTAAAAAGTTTCTCAGATGACAGAGTAATAATCAGTAGCCAGCTAGCTTTGTACATTTCAATTGTCACTACCACTGAGATACTTGAGAAAAAGTAGTTTGGAAATATGGGAAATACGAGATCTTTCTCATAAAGTCCAAGATGCTCAAACATGTAAATGTGCAACCATAGCAGTTGAAAGCAGGCATCATGAATAGAAAATAATGTAATAAAAAGTGCCTATAGGTGAAGTGATTCTAAACAGCCGATAGAAAGAAAAAAGTTGACACACACACGACAAGCATAGTTCTAGAAAGTAAACAGAGGATCAGACCTTCCCTAAACCTTTAAAACCTTATCAAGATTGTCAATTCCTGAAATTCAATATATATCTGCATCTCTCAAAGTATAATACACCAAATTTGAAAAATGTTACTGCTTATTAAAACAAACTGGAACGTCAACTCAATTTTTAAGAACTCAAATTCCACTCAGAAATGCTTTTTTAAGAACAGAAATTTGAAACAAGGCAGGGTATGACTTTTGCTCACTCAAAAGGAGCTATGTATTTATCCTGTTATAATAGACTAAGGGACACACTGAAATTCCCATAGTGCATTCTGTGTTAACTTTGATTAACACGGGTTTGTCTTCCCTTGTAAATCTCACTGCTCCCTTGATTAACTTCTAAACCTACTTACTTGCTAACTCTTAAAAATAATCTACTAATTTTCAAAAGTGTAGCCTATCAAATCCTATCAAAGTAATAAATCTGTTAAAGCAAGACCAAGTATGTATACCAAAATTTCAAAAAAAAAAAAAAAACCACTTTCATATTCAGAAACTTTAGGGATCAGATTTCAATCAGTTGAAGATAAATACAGACAGTTGGGATGATAACAACAATCCATCTCTAACTATTTCCTTCATCCCTAGCAATTTTGCATGTATTGTTGGGGAAAGGAAAGAGATGCTTTTAACTTGATCATGTTTCATGCCACGAGCCACAGATGGAACCGGTTCTAGGAGCAGTAAGTCCTCGAGCTCTGGGCTCTAATCCCAGCTCCATCTGAGGATTCTCAGGCAAATTTTACCCTCCTTTTTCCTCCATTTCCTCACCTGTAGAATGGAGATACTGCTAGTATTTGTGCATCATAGGGTTTTTATGAGGATTAAATTAGATACATATAGATTAAGTGTCCTGAACATTTAAATGTCAATTCAGATTAACTTATTCCTTGGTATTTTGTGGTTCTAATGAAAAATGCAAATGTCCTCAGAAATTCTTTTTGTAAATTACAAAGTCATTATTTTATTTGCTTCTCAAATAGAATTGACCCGTGCTATTTTTGTTCCTTATGTATACCATCAAGAGGCACACACTATAATGAATGAGCATGGGTTTTGAATTCTGGCAGACCAAACTGAACCCAGGTTCAGACAGCCATGTGATCTTAGGCAGGTGGTTTAAACTCTCCAAGCCTGGCTACTCCTTCTGTGAAGGAGGAAAGCCACCTACCTTAGGATGTTATCAGAAGGAATAGAAGTAATGTGCCCACAGCCAGGCAGAGTGCCTGGA